CATTGTGCTGCTTTGTTGTGTGTCCCGGTATTGGGCTCACCACTGACATGGAGGAGATCCATTGTTGACTCTGAGGTCACTCAGCATACCCGATGGGGGTCATGTCTCTGTCTTCCCAGAATCCTCCCTGTTGTCTCATTGGTTCTCTCTCCCTGCAGATACGAAGGCTCCATCGCTGGCCAGTTCTTCGGGCACACTCACCTGGACGAGTTCGAGATCTTTTATGATGAAGAGACCCTCAGCCGTCCCCTCTCCGTGGCCTTCATTGCACCCAGCGTGACCACCTTCATCGACCTCAACCCAGGTGATCACCAGACATGGCGACCATGTACCGAGCACGGAGGTCAGGGGTACTGTCAGGTGGTCCGTCCTTCCCTTCAGTCTTCTATCTGACCTCAGTCCTTCCTTCAGTCTTTTATCTGACCTCCGTCCTCCCCTTCAGTCTTCTATCTGACCTCCATCCTTCCCTTCAGTCTTCTATCTGACCTCCGTCCTTCCCTTCAGTCTTCTATCTGACCTCCGTCCTTCCCCTCAGTCTTTTATCTGACCTCCGTCCTTCCCCTCAGTCTTTTATCTGACCTCCGTCCTTCCCTTCAACCTTCTATCTGACCTCCGTCCTTCCCTTCAGTCTGATATCTGACCTCCGTCCTTCCCTTCAGTCTTCTATCTGACCTCCGTCCTTCCCTTCAACCTTCTATCTGACCTCCGTCCTTCCCTTCAGTCTTATATCTGACCTCCGTCCTTCCCTTCAACCTTCTATCTGACCTCCGTCCTTCCCTTCAACCTTCTATCTGACCTCCGTCCTTCCCTTCAGTCTGATATCTGACCTCCGTCCTTCCCTTCAGTCTTCTATCTGACCTCCGTCCTTCCCCTCAGTCTTTTATCTGACCTCCGTCCTTCCCCTCAGTCTTTTATCTGACCTCCGTCCTTCCCCTCAGTCTTTTATCTGACCTCCGTCCTTCCCTTCAACCTTCTATCTGACCTCCGTCCTTCCCTTCAGTCTGATATCTGACCTCCGTCCTTCCCTTCAGTCTTCTATCTGACCTCCGTCCTTCCCCTCAGTCTTTTATCTGACCTCCGTCCTTCCCTTCAGTCTTTTATCTGACCTCCGTCCTTCCCCTCAGTCTTTTATCTGACCTCCGTCCTTCCCTTCAGTCTTCTATCTGACCTCCGTCCTTCGCTTCAGTCTGATATCTGACCTCCGTCCTTCCTTTCAGTCTTTTTATCTGACCTCCGTCCTTCCCTTCTGTCTGATATCTGACCTCCAACCTTCCCTTCAGTCTTCTATCTGACCTCCGTCCTTCCCTTCAGTCTTCTATCTGACCTCCGTCCTTCCCTTCAGTCTTTTATCTGGCCTCCGTCCTTCCCTTCAGTCTTTTATCTGACCTCCTTCATCCCCTTCAGTTTTCTACCTGACCTCTTTCCTCCTGCCGAAACATTTGTCATTGCAACAATTTTCTGCGGGAAGGGGCGCATTATCTGACAGAAATGCCGGGGTGCCAATATTTTTGGCCGTGACTGTGTTGGGTTACAGTCACGCAATTTGTTTTCTGGGTGACAACATTTCGGTGTATACAATAAAGTGGTCACTTACTGTAAGAATGATGTAGGAGACGTTCTGGAGATGAGGTGACCTATTAGCTTAAAGCTCAATACACAACATCTGACTGTACAATCCCGTTCTGATGTACCAACACCCATGTAGTGAGGGGCCGGCCTGATTGGATAACAATGTAATGGATAGTTTAGGTTGCCCTCATGGTTTTGGTAGATGTAAAGGAGATTGTATAGTGAGCGTTCCTCATGTAGTGGCCGAGTCTGTGGACAGAGATGGCGTTCTTCTTCTTGTCAGAGTATGTGGTGGATCTCACATGTGTTCTCCTTCCAGGTTTCCGCGTCTACCAGATCGATGGCCAATATCCAAACAGCTCCCACGTTGTGTTGGACCACGAGACCTACATCCTCAACCTGACCGAAGCCAACAAGAAAAAGGAGGAGCCGCAGTGGACTCTCCTGTACAGCGCCCTCAGCACATATGGGATGAAGTCGGCCTATCCGGCAGATTGGGAGGACCTGCTAAGCAGATTCCTCCAGGACGAAAGACTCTTCCAGACTTTCTGGTTCCTCCATCACAAGGGTCACGTGGGAGAGGTATGCGAGCAAATGTGTAAGAGGACTGTCATATGTATCCTTCGCACTGGCCGGGCCGGTGATCCTCAGCTGTGTAAGGATTTGGGACTGGATGGGAAACCTACCTGGAAGCGGAAGTCTCTTTGCTGAAGTTGCAGCTTCCAGGGACCTGTGTTCCCCTCACGGAGGAGAAGAAACTCATCTCACGGAGGCGAGAAGACATTTTAGACCTCCCACAAAGGATTTCCTATGAACTGAGAAACAATGAACATATATTGTGTTCAAACGTCAAAAGATTTTACAGTATCTATAAAACTGTGGAGGTTCCTCGGGAACGTAGACATGGAGGTGACCTTGAATGAAGGCAATGTGGGCCGGATTGTGTGAGGACATCCAGTCTCCCTATAAAGCCCCTGGGAAGTTCTGAGGACGCGATGGGTAACATCTCGTGGACTCCTCACCGGTCAATGTCTTCCTGGAGACGTTTCCTTCTGGTCGTGTTTTGTGGTTCAATCTACAAGCTCAGGTGTTTTCTATCCAACTGGAACGTCACTGAGGAAGCTCCGCCTCTGAAAGTGACAATTGTTACTACACTTCCTCATGTGTCAGCTCTCCCTTGTAACTGACGCGAGTGGGACTAATTAGTGACCCCTCTTATACCCAAAGCCAATTTCTGTCCTCTGACCTTCACCATCCCCCCCCCCCCCCCCCCCAAC